TCAGCCAGGGAAGCCCTTGGGTGACCAGCCAGCGATTACAGGGTTGGGAGCAGCTGAGCCCCTTCCTGTCAACGCAGCCACAGGAAACCCCACCAGTGTGCTCCAGGCCAACACCACTTGCTTGCATTGGACCCATCCAGTACTTGAGCTGATGCTTCTGCTGGCACTAACACATTCCTGCCCCAGAAATCCTGAGGCCTCATAATCTCAGCACTCAGAAGAAGTCTCTGTGAGGGAAGGAGTATGGCATTAACCAGGAAATGAAAAGGTAGCATTATGGAAAACAACCACCCAGCCCATGTCATTAGCTTGGATGTTTTCCGTTCATCATGAGCACCTTAGAAAATTATCAGTTTCATAGAAGCCATCTGTGGGCCTGGGGCAGGTCAGGGCCACCATAAAAGCCAGCTGAACTCCTCAATCTCTCATCCACTTCTCTTGCCTCTTTCTTCTTTAGAAGCAGGTGAGTCTGAAGCCCTTTCCTCACATCCTTTTCCTGTTCATGCAGATGCATGCTCCTCCATCCTATGCTGGGTTGTAATGCTGCTTGTCATGGGAGGGGGAAGAAGGGTGGTTTGACTCAGTGTCTGGGACTTGCCTAAGAAGGCTCTTCACTGAAGAAATAGTCAGCAGCCTCACTGGGCCTGGTGATGCTTTGTAGTATTTTGTCTGGATGAGGCCAAGAAAGCCTTTTACCTCACTACCCAGTTTCTACCTTGTGGCCCAGCAGGTCCCTTTGATACACTTGCAGTGGGGTGATGGACTCGTGGCAAACTGCTCCTCAGATGTCCCTGTGCTCTGATTCCTCTCTCCTCTCTCTCCCAGGTGCACCTCCAGAGCCCAAGACATGTCCTGCTACAATCAGTGCCGCCCATGCCAGCCCTGCGGCCCGACCCCACTGGCCAACAGCTGCAATGAGCCCTGTGTCAGGCAGTGCCAGAACTCCACTGTCGTCATTGAGCCCCCTGCTGTGGTGGTGACCCTGCCTGGGCCCATCCTCAGCTCCTTCCCGCAGAACACCGTGGTGGGCTCCTCCACCTCTGCTGCTGTTGGCAGCATCCTCAGCTGTGATGGAGTGCCCATCACCTCTGGCTGCTGTGACCTCTCGGGCATTTCCAGGCGCTACTGTGGCAACAGATGTCGACCCTGCTAAAGCCACTGCTGTCAACTGAGACAAGGAATCCCAGGAATTCAGACCTAGATTCTGGAATGAGGATAGAGCTCCTGGCCATTGATTTTAGAGAGACTGAACATCCAGTGCTGCCCTTCCAAAGCAGGTGCAGCTAGGACTTTCTGAAAGCATGACCGAAGTCTAACTTCCTTACCTTCAACTGTCTCCCATCTCTTTCTTATATTCTGTTCTTCTGTGCTGTAAGATCCCCAGAGCCAACCTGGGGGATCTGTTGATCCATCTCCCTCCATGTAGGTTGCAGATGGATGCCCTGTGGGATCTCCACTGTGGTCAATGGGTGCAGACTTTCAATAGTTGCTACTGCTCTCCCTGCTCTAGAAGTGACCTCATTTCCCTCTTCAGAGTGATTAAAGTTTTCTGCATTTCAGCCTCTGCCTCCATGTAATCCTTTTTTGGCCTTGTTGTCTCGAGTTGTCAAAGAAGAAGGGCACTGGTTTGGGTGGTGATGGGTAAGGTGAGGGCACAAGAGGACCTTTCATCATTCTCAGAGGAAGAGGAGGGTGGGACACAGGACAATGGGACAAGAGACAGGACACACAACAGTCACTGTCTCTTGGAGCTAAGGAAGACATGCTCAGCTCCTCTTAAACCAGTGGTGATCACACCCTGTGTTCTGGCATCAGGCCTTTGACATGGTCCACCACAACATCCTTCTCTCTAAATTGGAGTGAGATGGATCTGATGGATGGACTGTTTGGTGGATAAGGAATTGGTTGGATGGTTGCATCCAGAGGGTAGTGGTCAATAGCTCAATGTCCAGATGGAGATTGGTGACAAGTGGTGTCCCTCAGGGGTCCGTACTGGACCAGTGCTGTCTAATATTTTCATCAATGGCATACATGGTGACAACAAGTGCACCCTCAGCAAGTTTGTCAATGACATGAAGCTGAGTAGTGCAGTTAACACGCCTGAGGGACAGGATGCCATCCAGAGGGACCTGGAGCTCTAGAAGTGGGCCCATGAGGTTCAACAATGCCAAGTGCAAAGATCCTGCACCTGCGTTGGTGCAATACCAGCTGGGAGATGAAGGGATTGAGAGCAGCCCTGAGGAGAAGGACTCGGGGGTACTGGTGGATGAAAAACCGGACATGAGCCTTCAGTATACATTGGCAGCCCAGAAGGCCAACCATACCCTGGGTTGCATCAAAAGAAGGGTGGAGTGAAAAAGGCCCCTGCATGGAAAATCGTCAATAGAGATCCAGAGACTGCAAAATTGACTTTAAAACATGTTTAAAAGGGGCGGATATCATCATAAAACATGGGAAAAAAGGATTCTAATCTGGAGACTGATGATGATGGGAGCATTGTTTAGAGTAAAGGCAAATCTATCAGGATTGAGGTCAGAGAGTGATGGAACCTGGTCTACCCTCCTATCGGTGAATGGAAAGGTGAAACAAATCACTTTAGGAATGCTAACCTTATGTCCAATTTGGAAAAAGGCTCCCTTTAGAGGGAGCTCTGAAAATTTAAAATTAATCCGAACAAAGAGATCACAAATTGATGATGCAGAATGGAATGAACCTTCGACAGGAGTAGAAATTGGATGGGCTTTAGAATCTTTATTGACTCGCTTATCAACCTACAAAAATAGGGCCTGGTTGTATTGACTAACTGGTCAGGTAGAGAAATTGGCTAGCGTAATAAGTAAGTGATTCAAACAACTAAATTTACAATTACAGGCGACCTCAAGGATGACCCTACAAAACAGAATGGCTTTGGATATGCTCTTGTTAAAGGAACATGGAGTTTGCAGATATTTGAGAGATAAGATGGA